ACAATTAAAAGTCTTCCTATAAATTCGTTGCTAGAGACTTCAACGTCAGATCAGGAACAGCCAACAAAAATGAACATAGAGTAGGAAAATTCGGAATGGAAGAACGAAATGATAGTAGAAATCGTCTTGCAAAACTCCTGCCCGCAGCAGTAGCACTTCCATCTCCACGTCTCTTCCATGGGAATTTATTGTCGAGAAGAGAGAAAAACGCCGCTGGACATAGGAGTCTCCTAAAGGCATATCTCATGTGGAGATTGACCAAATTCTCACGAACAAAAAATAGTATCTTTTTGACAATTCCGTGGTACCTGGACTCTTTACATGGTCTGATCAGAACCTTCTCCGTGCGAAGATTCGCATCAGCCATATGTTGGAAAAGAACTCCTCTTTCTCAATGAAATCATCTCTTTATATGACTCGCAGATAAACGAGTACCCGACGGAGGACTACCAGCTGCTTGTCGAAGGACTTAAAACTTGTTACAAACGCGCCTCATCTCCTAAAACAATGAGTTCAGACCTCATCCTTATTACTACTAAGGTGCTGCCCGAGCAGAGAAGTGAATTTGATCCTACTGCAACACACCTAACACAGCTGATAATAAATGTCGGTTGTAGAAGATCTTTGTAGGATGATTCACATCGGCATAAGCAGAAAAAGTTATTTGAAGCAGCCGGACCTAGTCTGAAGAAGTGCCGTCAGGAACTGCGACTACGAAGTTCTACTATCCGCTCTAATGATCTGATGCTCTATCATGCTCTCATTATAGTATAAGACTATCATCACGTCTCGCCATGATGCGAAATTAATAACATCTATCTTTTCTGCTTCACAATCCCCGTCTTGGAGAACCTAGAAATCTCCGCTGGCGAAATACCGTGCGGCAGTCTTCCTTTGAAGTTCGAGTTGCGATAGAAGTTTTGAAGAAAGACATAGGTAAAAAACCTGAAAATATTATCCCCGATTTCCTTAGAGTTGGTGGCCACTAATTACATGTACTTCTCGCAACTCATATGACATTTACCTTCAAAAAGAGAAAATCCCAGACCAGAGGAGGACCTCGCCCATGGTCATCAAACTCAGGAAGAGTGAACGAATGGATCTTCGTAACTACCGTCCAGTATGCTTGTGGAGTGTACTCTACAAGTTACTCACGAAGATTATGGTATTGCATATATAGAAGCCATTGGATGAGGCACATCCAGTTGAGCAATCAGGAATCCAACAGCGATTCTGCTGCGTGAACCATATCCAAACCCTACCACGTGCACGGGTTATAGTCTATCGAGAGTGCCATTTGCCCCTTGTCCTAATCCTCATCGACTACAAGAAAGCGCCTTACAGCATCGAAACGAATGAAATCCTATCAGTACTTGTTGTCTAAGTGGAACACGTCCCATATACCAACACCAGTTGACTGTTATGGAAACTGTAGTAAAAATATGCAGGTGTTTCATCTACTCTTCATCATAACTATAAAAAAGGAGTTCGACAAAGGGACACCATGTAGCCAAAGGTGTTTACTATCGCTTGGGACGAGAAAGACATACGTAATGATGGAAAATTCCTATCAAATCTTCGTTTCGTGGATAACATCGTCGTCTTTTCGAGAAGTATCAGTGAAGCAGAGGCGAAGCTCAATGAACTCAACAAAGCGAGAAAAAGGATTGGACTGCCCATAAGTAGAACGAACATACAGTTTATGCAGAACCTGAGGCGCGAAGACGATCAGATTGAACTGAACGGTGTCGTGATTACAGAGATCACCTCGCACGTATACTTTACACGTTCAAAGAATATAGAGAACAACATTAAGAGGGAATTAGGCAGAAGAAGGAAGGAGAGCAGCATGGGATACACTCGAGACTCAAAGAAGCCAACGAGAAATTTAAGGACCAGGAAATGCGCGCTCACATTCCGACTCAACAGTTTTCCGAGCGTCCTGTTATGTAACAGAAGCGTCGGCTGATACTTTAGCCACGTCGAGTAATCTGCGCACCGTCCACATAGCGCTTGAAAGATGCCTTCTGAAATTTAACCCGGCACTTACGACGTCTACCCGATAGGCGCACCTCAAATCTTCGAAAACCTTTCCCATCTTCGAGAACCAGGAGAGTATACATCGATAGCTGAACACAGATGGGCCAGTCACATAATGAGAACAGATGACTGATGGACGGAAAGAACAGCTCTCTAATAGAATGGACTTCAAAAGTCCTCTTGAAAGACCAACCAGTTGATGGGCGCACGTATTCGTTGCTAATGTCAACCATCACCGTCCGCTAGTGGAAACGCTTCTAGGGATTTGGAATGGGCCTCCTTGCAGTCATTATATTCGAAGCAGAGCACAGCCGTGGACGACGACTGCTCGAGAGAGAAAGGAATGGAAGTTATGCTGCGGTCCGCACGATCAGTGAAGATAGGCCATCTAAGTATCTAAGTATCGAGGTTCACTCCGGAAAACTTTTTTCCTTAGTTTAGTATATATTAAACGAGTTTGTTTGTGTAAAAACACAATTATTTGTAAAAAATTCTGAAATGATGCGACTGAGTACTTAGATCAACAGTTGCCTCAAAGTAAAGTAAAAACATTATGATTTCAACTACAGCCTCAGCTTAACTGGGTTCAATGCCGATGTGGGCTCCCCAGATCGATCCCGTTGGCGTGTGATTGTTGATGGAACGAATCGATAGAACCAGCTGAGAGACAGGCGAAATGAAGGACCTGCATGGTGTGGTGGTGAATGCGTTCGCCCCCGGAAAGGGTAATAGTGCGTTCGTTTCCCACCGCATACACCTGCGGTCCGGAGCTTTGCAAATATTTCAGCAACGTTTTAATTGCTTTGAAGTGGCAATTTTTCAAGATGGAAGCAAAACTAGTGAAAAATAAATTCCTCTCCTGAGGTGATGAGCAGAGAGGAAGAAAAAACGAGAAAAATCGATTTAAAAAAATAGTCAAATCGATCAAAGTGATCAAGCAAAAAAAATCTAATCGAAATTTTGTCAGTGAATGCGCTAAGGTAGGGTCCCTGAACGTAAAATGTGTGGATGATTCGAAAAGTTTCGTAACAAAGACGTAAGAGCTCATGACGGGGAAGGTCGTTAAAGCCTGCTAGCAGTTCCCGACGCACATCTAAAGTAGGTGACGGAGACCCAGCCCTCCAAAAATAGCTTGAGGGCTTGCAGGAAAACTCAACATTCACGACTTAACGACGAGTGGTACATGAACTGAGCGGAAGAGAGCGAAATCGTCGTTATGAAGTCCGTTTTGCAGTTCTTCTACACAACAAAAACTACCACTTTCTCGATCGTATTGTGACGCAAGACGGAAGGCGGCACCTACATGACAAGTAACGACGTTTAGTAGAAAGGCTGGAGTAAGAAGCGCCCAAACACTTCACGAGGCCGATTTTGCATCAGTGGCTGGTTGCTGTGAGTGTCTGGTAGTCAGTATATTGAATTATGCTTTTTAAATTTCCAGTTCCTGATGAAACAATCACAGCAGAGAAGCATCGTCATGAAATCGATGAAAATCACCACAAATTATACCGTATGTAAACAGAATTGACCAATAAAAAAGGTCCCTATCGTTCTACGCGACCACGCTCAACCACATGTTGAGAAACCAACGCTGCGGAAGCTGAACGAGTTCGGGATACAAAACCCTGCCTCACCCAGAGCACCTAGCCAAACTCTCGTCGACGTGCTATCACTTCCTCAAGCACCAGGGCCACTACTGCCGACAGAAAAGTTTCAATTTTTAGCTTTAGTTTTTCCAATTAGCGGAATTTTTCGAACTGATAGTAACTGAGGTGCACAGTTAATGACCAGAGCAGTACTCGATTTCAAATTTTCAATATATGTATGACAGGAACGAGCATACCCCTCTCCGAGGATTGTATCCTCCCAACGATTTACCGCCTCATCGTAGCTGAGAGGTTCCTGGGTGTGGGGCTGTGATGTACAACTGGGGACTTCCTGGCAAGGTCAACCAAGCTGAGAAGGAATCCGGCATTAAACCGCCGTCCTGGTACCAAAACAGTCGCATGGTGGCTAATCTCCCTCTTATCCACAAGGGCTGCAACTGCCTGTGGTGGTAACGTCTGGGGCAGTTTGGCCAAGCTTTCCTCGGGACTTCAGGGAACGACGATCTCCGGAGAATAAAAATTATGCTGAGGAAACACAACCAGTGAAGACGGGCCATCTAAGTATTTAAGTAAGTAGCATATGGATTGGATGAGTGATTTTAGTGTATGTTCAGGAATGAAGAAATTGAGGAAGCGAGGATAGCGCGGCGGTTAGTGGCGCCGTCGATCCCCACACAACGCTCTCCTTGAACCCATGTGGGAACGCCTTAGTCCGGCTATCTTCAAAATTACTAGGATAGTCGACTCAACCAGTATTCTAGGACATACACGAAGAATACGAAATCCTCAAGCAGCTGCTGAGACAATACGTGGAATGGTCTAAGACCACTGTGAACGATGAGTGCGAAGACAACGAATCGAATGCGAGAAATGCTGGGATCCGCAGAGTATATGTGATGACGGGTCGTGTAAAATAATAATAATAATTATAGTAATAGATAAACATATGTTTGGGATTAGAAGATCAACTTAGTTTTCGCAAACCAACTAAAACAGGTGTTTCTGTGACGGTGCAAAGAGGAACTCGGAAGCCATGACCATCGAAGAATTTTATTAAGGACACTGGTTTCAGAAATGCAATCTGGCCATGCTGGCTCATTAAATGTCTACACCTGCGCTCCAACTACGGATTGCGCACGCGTGGATGCACGCAATTTGAATGCTAATTTGGCGGGAAAGCGAGGCTATTCAACCTTTTGCGTTGGTAGAAATTGCAACATCGGTCTTACTTTGTGGTTCCGGTGTCGCTTTGCCGAGTCCTTTTGTTGGTGTAGATTCAGTTAAATTCCACGGGTTGTTTGATGTCGAAATTCTTACAGCGTTTCAGACTAGCGTTATTTTCTCGAACACAATATGTCCAACTTTGACGATGCTGGAATTTACTACCAGGTCTTGGTTTTGACGTGTCTCTACTTTCTTGAGATGGTTATAACTCAAGGCACTTCCTTAAGGAGAGATTCTTCGCCAACGATGGGATTCCAGACGCTGGACGTCAGCTGATCACTGAGTACCGCCAGATTTGCGAACAATTTCGCCGCTTCATTAGAGAGTTCTCCACTGGAGGAGCAAGGGGGCTACACTATCGGTAAGCGCCTGTGACAGAACATGTGAATTTGATCACGCATGGCAGAAAAGTGCTCGTTCGATTCTAATCAGTTCAGTTCGTGTATTGACGTGTGTCAGTTGGTTTTCTAGGCCTCTTGTAGGCCTGGTGTGGGTGTGGCATAGCATCAGTTCTCATAGCTTGTTCGATTCCTTGTAGTCTTCTTATCTTTTCGTTGAGTCTTAAATGTACCATTTAGTGACGAGCTTAAAAAAAATTACAACGCCAAGCACTACTTTCTTGAAGTGAACCTTACACATCTGAGACAATTCGATGAAGATGCCGAGTCGAAGTTGCGCACTTATCCAACGAGGTTTCTTCCTGCTGTGAGTGTTTTCCTACATTTTGGCCCAAGTGTGATAGTTTTGACCATGCTTATTTTGTGAAAATCTCATTCACTGACATCTCAGTTCGAGGAGGCAGCTCGTACTGTTGCAGATGAACTCACTGCTCCACGATCAGAATCTGATGAGGAGATGCAAGACATCCAGGTATTTTTCGCATTTTCCCGAATTTTAGAAATATCGGGCTATCTATTCCTACTTTATTGTTCCTTTTTGATGGATGGATGTGAATAAATGTAAACATTTCAAAGATTTCTCTGACATTGGATGATTATCCAATTCCAATCCGGAGAGTGAAGAGCTCGCAGGTATCTCAAGTTGTGAAGGTATCTGGTATAATCGTTGCAGCTTCACAGGTGCGTATTAAAGTTCGTGGTTTGTCGAGGCTGGTTTGATCCCTAATGTTTACAGTTCAGGTCCGCGCGAAAGCAACAAAAATAACCTTGCAGTGTCGCACTTGTTTCCACACCATCAGTGACCAAGTATTGAAACCTGGTCTTGAAGGGTTCCAGCTTCCAAGATCATGTGGAGCGTGTGTTTTTTCTTTATACAGCAATATTTTTAAAGTGTGGTTTTTCTACCAATTGTTTTAGTGCACAGTACGGCCAACTGCAACGGTGCCCACTTGATCCTTACCACATTGTTCCCGACAAATGTCATTGCGTAGACTATCAGATCCTGAAACTTCAAGAGAATCCTGAGGATGTACCTCATGGGGAGATGCCTCGTCATCTTCAACTGTATTGTGATAGGTACTGACGGAACAGTTTTGATTTTCCATTAGGTTGGATTAAAACGCACTGACTGATTTTTCGATAACTCTGGTGGCAAACCTGAAAACATAGCATTCTCAAAAGAAGGACTTTGCTGTATCGACCTAGAAGCATGCACAGTTTTAAATTTGAATTTTAAACCTATGTAGGACATTCGCAGTGATACAAATCATATTTGATTCGTATGCGTGGTGAATAGTGGGTGATTCGAGTCTTTTTAGTATTTAATGCACGTTTTCTGCTTAGGTCTGCAGCGTGCCCACTACAGATGTTATGACCCGGGGAAGTTATTCTCTACATTTAAGAACATGCAAAATAAAACCCTCCTAGTAAATTTTCTTTCGCCCAAGTTCAGAGGAAAGAGGTTATTGCTGGTGAAGAGGCTGTTCTGGCACAATAACGTTCGACATGCGATGAGGGTGCACGTAACGCAAAGGTGGTGAACGCTTTCATCAAGAGTGTGATGCTAATTCGACTCCGCATCGACCCCACCAAGCTTCCTCTTCCGGATCGTGGAATTGAGACTAGACCTATCTGTGATCGGCTAACTCCCTCGAATGGACATGGGAGCACCCTAGCCCGGTCGCATTCATAGAAATTCAGGAAGAAGACCAAAAGTTCTCTGGCAGGAGTCGAACTTACACGGAAGAAGTTGAAAGACTTTTGTGCACAATGGATGCGAGTAAACGTATCAAATGCACGAGACGCTGCGATCCTCATAATGGATTTGAGAACGGAACATGTGAAAATAAAATTTTTCTGAATTCGAAAATGAGGTTTAGATTTTTAAAATTCTTGGTGCAAATGCATCAACCGCAATTTTCGAAGAAGTGCTCCCAAGACTGTATTGTCGTACAGGGTTAGGTCGCGCTTGTTCAATTAGTTGACTATTCGAGAGATCATCGACGAGTAAGGCGAGAAAATCCATTTTGTAGGCTCCACGGAAACTGAACCTTGCCATGCTATGACAAGAGAACATGTGTCTTGTTGGCAGAGATTTGTAGATTCTGTTCTGTTTCTGTTTAATTCAGTAAAATTCATCATGCTGTGAGATGCATTTGTTTAACACTTACGGACTGGTTCGGACAATGTGTGCTTTATACTTACTTGAATATATTTGAGTCTCTCAACTTATCTGGGCTCATTGTGGAATCCAATCAGCTAAAATAGAAAACATGATAATCCGCAGGTCTTCCCCAACAACATGAAAGGTTTCTTGCTGTGTAAGGGTGAAACTCCATGGGTAGTTTTCTTCTCGAGTTGTTGAATGTTTGCATTTCGGACTGCGAAGAGATTTAACTATCAGGATTTCTTCGGCTGATACCTTTAATGCACTTTCCTTGCTGGTACTGAGCTTGTACTGAGTCGAGAATTTTTGAGTTTAGAGCTCGTTCTTCATTGCTTGAAAAGTTGATTTCCAAACAACAAACAATTTTAGAGTTAAGGGAACATTTTGTCAGAGTTACGTGTACCCATTATAGCGATAGGGCAATGGACTTTTCTTTACTTGGTTACTTGGATGGTCCGTCTTCACTGGTTGTGCAGACCCCAACATAATTTCCATTCTCCGGAGAATTGCTGGTGTAGCCATTATGGTTCCCTTGAGTCCCGAGGACAGCCTGGCCAAAGACCGTTCGGGTCGTCACTGCTAGTGACAGTCGTAGCCCTTGTGGATCAGAGAGATTTGCCACCATGCGACTGGTTCGATATCAGGGTGGTAGTGGATCCTGGTATTACTTTACTCTTAACAGAGCTTTCTAATGGAAACGCCGGCTTCCTTCTCAGCTTAGGAGATCCTCTCCCGGAAATGGATCCCCTCGTTGTCCATCTTAGCCCGACACCCAGGAACACCTCGGAGCCACGATGAGGCAGTAAACCGTTGGGAAGGCACTTTTCTATAGGCATAACTACTTTTAAACTCATCGGGTCCTGTAGTGATCGGAAAATCGGCATGCGTTCTTGTTTTAGAGTAGAAAAACGATATTACTTTTGGTAATTTGCTTTTATGTCAGTTGTTATATCAAATAGTGTTGCATATTTTTGAATTTTATAAGTTTTTTTCAGATATCTCACCGATAAACTAGCACCTGGGAATCGGGTCACTCTTGTCGGTGTTTTCTCTATTAAGAAGTTGGCTCAGAAGGTATCCGTCCTCTCATATATATTGTACCATCATATTTATATAGTATATTGGAATTTGAAATACATTTTATTCAGAGTAAAAGCAACAAGGACAAAACCTTTACTGGAATACGTACTCCTTATCTTCGTGTACTAGGGATTAAGGTGGAAGCTGGAGGTCTTGGAAGAACTGAACATAAACATTTCACTCCTGAAGATGAGCGAAAATTCAAGTTGGTTTGCATAACTTTTTACTAGGAAGTGTTAGGTTAGTAATTCGGAATGAACAACTAAGTGTACATCCATCGATATTACGTGTAATCCGGTTAATATGTTCCACGCATGTTGCTTTTTCGGTAATTGTTGATAATTTCTCAGTACTTGGAGTGCTTGAGTTGAGAGCTTGAATAAACTGTAGAGACTGCGCTGTCAATCCACTACTGTATGGCAACTTCGTGTAGTTACGGCAAAAATTTGTAGATTCTGGTAGACTATAGATTCTAGAATTTTATAGCAATTAACAAAACTAGGTATGAATATGGTATGAGTTCTTTTAGCTTTTATTTGCTGCCTATTCTTTTCTCATGGCAGAATACGACTTGTACGGTAAGAATGGTTGGGAGTTGGCATTTGATTGCTGGTAGCATCGATAGAATAAAAATTGACTGGGAGAAAGGCAAAGAAAAGCGTTGCTTGGTGTGGTGGTAGCGCATGACTCCTCGGTAAGTGTAGTCGAGGGTTCGAAACTCAGTTGAGGTCTCGGGTTTTGCTCATTTCTCAGCATCTTTGTTGTTGATGACCTATGTATCTTCAAAGTTAATGAGACAAGTTATTTTTTGGCTAGGTACTCATTAAATATTGATTTCGATAATCTGTTAATTGGCAACTAGATACAAGTTCTTTTATACCACTAAAAGGAAATTGTGATTTTCTGGAGCTCAGAAAACGTGTTCCCCTTTTTTTTAATCGAGAACACTATGGTGTTCGTCAAAACATCTTCGATGGCTGTGGCTGCTGAACGCGTCGGAGGCTTTAAAGATTCTAATGTTCCTAGGAATGTTTTGAAAATTTTGGTCTTAAGTCTATTTGATACTAGCAGAATATTTTGCGGATTCAATTACCTAGCACGGTTGTAAATGGATGAAGTGATGGAACCGATGGGGGTATTCCTCATCCTATGTGAGATTTGGACGGTTGGAATAGACTTTGTATTATTACAACAGAGGTATGCTACTACATTTTGAGGTTTTCAGAGAGTTGGCTATGCGACCCGATGTGTACGAGCTGATAGCGAAAAGCATAGCCCCATCCATTTACGGGTTCACGGATATTAAAAAATCAGTTGCTTGCTTGTTGTTTGGAGGATCGAGGAAAAGGTTATTTCGCTTAATTTGAATTAGAGCTTCGTAGTGGAAGCCAATTAGAAAGTATTAATTATCAAGTATCAATTAGGGAACTTATGTATGCATGTTATTTGAAGACTCCCTGATGGGTTAACTCGTCGTGGTGACATAAATGTTCTTCTTCTTGGAGATCCAGGTACAGCGAAATCACAGCTGTTAAAATTTGTGGAACAAGTAAGTGGATATATACTTGTTATTGTACTCGAATGGTCTGCATGATCTGTTTTAAAGGTTTTTCGATTCGTAGGTGGCACCAATTAGCGTATACACCTCTGGAAAAGGTTCATCAGCCGCTGGTCTGACTGCTTCCGTGATTCGTGATCCATCATCGGTTTGTCTTAGAGGGTTACAATTTCGATGGTGGGCTGCTGATAATTAAAATTTATAGCGATCGTTCATGATGGAAGGTGGCGCAATGGTCTTAGCTGACGGAGGTGTCGTCTGCATTGATGAGTTTGATAAAATGCGAGAGGACGATCGTGTAGCTATTCACGAGGCTATGGAACAGCAAACCATCTCCATTGCTAAGGTTTCTATGAGATTTTTTGCAATTTTTGAATCTGAAAGTTCCATTGTGTTCGTTTTAAGGCTGGTATAACAACTACACTGAACTCACGATGTTCTGTACTCGCTGCGGCAAACTCTGTTTATGGTCGTTGGGATGACAGTCGTGGTGACGAGAACATCGATTTCATGCCAACGATTTTGTCTCGTTTCGATATGATACATATAGTCAGGGATACTCATGATATGAGGCGAGATGAGGTACAGTAAAATAAGGTAGACCTTGTATCATTCATTATCCTGTTATGTACGTAAGGGACTAAAATGAACCGTAACAAACTTTTAATATTTGTATAATATTTGCCATGCGAATGGGCACACAAACGCAATTTTGAGTCTCATTGTATAAGAGAGGTCTACAGTCATTGAAATTCGACTTCACGCTGAATTTCCCATGAAGCAAGTTGGCGTGAATTGTCGTGAATTTAGTGTAGGTTCCTTACTATTAACAATTACTGGCTTCATCTGCATTACGTTTTCATACGTTTTCATTAACCCATAATTTGTTTGTTAATAACTTCATAGGGCGGGCTTCCACCTGTTTTCCTGACATTCCCGATATCTCATTATATTCAAAAGTGGAGCAATTCAAAACACTCGTACTTGGGGCCATTTCTATAACAGTTTCCCAGAGATCGCCTACGACTATATCATCTCTGTAGACTCCACACTGTTCTGGAGCTGTTTGCTTTATTGTACGATCAACTGTGAACAGCTGAAGAAACGCGCGAAAGCCGCGTCTATGTGTAGTCAGATGTGTTTTCCACTGAAAAAAGAAATTAGTGGAGACGTTGCAAACTTGAATTTTTTAAAGGCATAATTACTAGTTGAAAAATGTTTTAGTTCTGTCTTTTACTGCGCGATTTTAGCGGGATTAATCCTTTTTTTGTTGCATGTTGGGTTTGAGTTTAGATTTTGTCTATTTTTGGTAACCTTAACCAAAGCATTTCAGACACTGGCGAAGCACGTCATTGACGTCCATGTGAACGCTTCTCATGTTGGTGAGAAGAGCACTATGGAGACGAGTGCAAATACCGACGGTGAAACAGAAATGTTTGACGCGGATGGATTTCTCACTTTAGGTAGGTCTGCAAATAACAATTTTCGCATCGAAGGTTTATAAATCCAGAGATAGCTGTTGTAATTCGAGAGATCAACTTTCAATTAGCCTCGGCATTATTAAAATAGTTATTTTGTTCATAGAAATTGTCTTAAAGTGAGGTGGTTATCACGCGTTCAATTTTTGGTGGCTAAAATTCCAGTGACATCGTCTTTGGAGAGTGGAGAGCACTGCTGTTATACAACATATAAACATTGTACAGTTTTATTGGAAAGACACAGCATAAACTTTATTGTAATGGAGAAGCAGCCATCATCTTAACACTTTTTAAATTTTCTAAAGAGTAAGGATACTCGTATGGTGCTTATATACGTTGCCGAGTGGAAAACGTTCAGTTTATTTGAGAAATCTGTGAAGTTGTGCGTGAGTGTGAGGCCATCGTGGTTTCCCCAAGAAACCTGAAGAGTTCTAGGCGCTGATCTTTTTCTTCTCTGCATTGGGGTTTGGGGTCACTATTTTGATTTCAAAATCACTACCGCTATGCTTCTGTGTCCAGTATGTATCTACCAGCGTGCTTTGTCTTCTATCTACATCGTACGTCTACATCACCGATCAGTTAACCGTTCAAAATCAACGTCCGTGTTGAGGACCCCGTGTCAGTTGTTCTAATGTTTCAGAATTCCTGAAGAAGTACTGTTCTTATGCTCGGATGAACTGTGGTCCTAGATTAACAACCCAAGCTAGCGAGAAACTTGCTAATAGCTATGTTCGAATGAGGAATCCTCCTGTAGACCTTGATGAAATCAGTAAGTCAGCATATGCATTGTTTGAGTACAGCGGCTTAAATGTAAAACAAGGTTATATTGTTAACACTAGAACTGTTTCTCGTGCGGACTCAAATGTAAGTGGACCACTGGAACATGCAATTTTAAAAATTTCATCCATTTTTTAAGGACTAGGCAAAAAGGCTTCCAAGTCCTCAATTTCAATCACGGTTCGCCAGCTGGAAGCCGTTGTGAGGATAAGTGAAAGTCTAGCGAAACTAGAATTGCAGCCATTTGCGCTTGATAAACATGTGGACGAGGCGCTCCGTCTCTTCCGTGTTTCCACCGTTGAGGCTGCTGCGACTGGAAATCTTGCGGGTAGTCTACTATTTTACCAGCTATTTTACTGCTATTTTTTTTCATTCTATTTTTGTAAAGTGGTCAACTATCAATGCTAATCTAGGTATCGAAGGTTTCACATCAGACATCGATCAGGAGTCTATGCAAAGAATTGAGACCCAAATGAAAAAGAGATTTTCTGTTGGGACCCACGTCTCAGAACTTGTGATAGTTCAGGACTTTGTCATGCGCCAAGGTTACAACGAAACTTTGGTTAAAAAGGCAAGATTTTTTGTCACACTTGCTGAGGCTTTGTGGTTGGATGGTTCAATATTTAGGTCATCATGAACATGGTGAGACGCGGTGATTTACAATACAAAATGCAAAGAAAGATGTTGTTTCGCGTTCGTTGAGCGACATCCCATTCGACGTCATTTTTGTGACTTTCGTTTTTTTTTCACATTTTATATCTTCCATGCGATTTACAATGGCTGCTTATTTACATTTCCATGCTCGAAATAAATTTGTCAGTATGAGCAACAGCGAATTCAGGAAGTTTAGCTATATCAAGTGAGAATTGTTTAACACAGCGAAGACATGAAAAATTAATGTACAAGGTCAATGGTCTGATATCTAAGGTGACTTTTTGAGCGATTTAAAAGTACATGTAGTGGAGAGTGGGGTAGTCTTCAAAAAATGCACCTTCATAATAATACAGGATAAAGGATAAAGCTCTCGTCGTTGATCAGTCCTTGAGATGCGTCATGCATTCGGCTTCAGTAAGCATCGTTAGAGGTGAATGAACGAATATCTGGCCTTTACAACGACTCGTGGATGCCTACCGATATGTCGAGCCTGGAGCCAGTACTGCTATCATCCAAGACAGGTCTGGCAACAATTTGCCGACTCCGAGGGGATGGAAGGCTTGGTGGGCCTGGGGAGTGGGGATCGATCTCGTGTGTATTGCAGGGCGGCCCCGACCACTGCGCCTCATGCTTCCTTTGCTTTCTTAGTAAGCAGTCAAATATTTCAGTTGAAGCTTCTTGGGATAAAAGCGACGTATGGAAAGGGCTTGCTGATATTCAGAAGTTATATCATCATCCGATTATGTGTAGACTTTAGAGTGGTTAGCAATCATAAGTAATTAGGGTTCTAGCAAATCCTTCGCTTCGCAATCTCGAAATTTCTGCACAAGACTGCCTCTGGAGCAGTATGACGTTATAAAGCGTCATTCAATGGAGCAAGTAATAAAATAACGCGAAGCTTTAAAACCATTACTACTCATGCAAGATGTCTATATGCTGTTGGGACTGATAGTACTGTCCACATCGTCCGTGTTTCGTGAAACTTCGCACTGCATTCATGGCCAGCCTATATAGTTCCATGTCAAAGTTCCGTTCCATGGATCTCAAAAATGTAGTTTTTGAAATTTGAACCGTATCATAAAGCCGCACTTTCTGTGTACTGCTCATTTATTGGAAGACATCATCCAAGCGCTCCTTGGGTAGTGTGTAGGATTCTCGTTGTGAGAGACAGGCGAAACGAAGGACCCGCATGGTGTGGTGGTGAACGCGTTACTCCCTGGAAAGGATAACAGCGCGTTCGTTCCCCACCGCAGACACCTGCGGTCCGGAATTATGCAAATATCTTAGCATTATAGAAGTTATATTCTCGATGTTGTTGATGTATCATTCCAACTCACAACGCCAAGAGAGGGTGCTGAAAGTATCGTTGGGTCAGAAAGGAGGATTCAACGGTTTGAGTTCGTAGGTGAATCAATGGCTTTTTTGAGAGCTCCGATAATGGCTACCGCTGGTCTCTGAGTAATCTAACTCAACCTCATGTTCTCCATTTTCATTGAGCAGTTAATGTTCATATGTGATGCTTAATTAGGGAACCATTCAGCTAGATTTGTTCACTGTCATGTCATGATTTTTTCATGAAATGCGTTTTCTTTCGGTCTATCCGCAAACTCCTCTCTCATTGTGCTGTCTGAATATCACCTTTGATTCTATCGATGAGATGGTAGTGTATTTAGTGAAACAAAAGTTTCAGACGAATTTGCGATCAGCGCATATGTCGCCTTCTTCCTAACCAAGTGCCCTCATTCACTACAATATTGGAGGATGATTAGCATCGGTGAGATCTTGCCATGCTGTCAATTTTAATACAGGAATGCTATGGGAGCCTATGGGCGAACCGATTTCGATGTAATTGCGATTGTCGTGAAGGCGAGTATTGCCCAGTGGTTAGAGGTGCCTGCGATACCCATGTGGTCACTGGTTCTATCGCACACCCCGGGCCCACCAAACTTTCGATCTTTTCGGGGTGGACAGGCTGGTACCAGTCTTGTCTAGGACGGTGGTTGCACGGGCTCTATACGTCGTTAGGCCACTGCATGTCATTGTATAGCAATCATTCACCTCTAACAATGCTTGATGAATTCGAGTGCATGGCGCATCGAATAGTGAATGATAATCGTCAAGCGTATTACGCGTTTTGTGGTTATAGCTGGCTAAATTCTTGGAGGATACACTCTTATGGGGATACACTCTTATGGATCAAGTAGAACAGATTAATAGTCGAGATCTTGCTTGCTCAGCTGTGACTTAGTGTTCAACATTTTAATTACTGCCTATTATTTTTCCATGGTAGGGTGTTATTCGAAAAACGACGACAACTATGGTTAGATATTTGCAAAGCTCGTAAATCCAGATGAGCTTAGAACTCATCATTACCATTTCGGGAGGTTTAGGTGTTATCCACTGCCACCACAAGCTTTGCTTGCTCTCAACCAGTTTTTTCCCTGAGGGTACCATCAGCATTCACTCATCAAAGGGAATGATCTGTGGAGCATAAATTGGCATTGAACCCGGTTAATCTGAATACCTGGGTTTGCATACCTGTTTCTGCTGCGTTGGCACATATACCCTGTGTTTATGAGGAAGTATTCTTGCATGCGTGCTTGGATGTGCTCTACTTTATGGGGAGTGTATCTTTCGAGTTAATTCTGCGGAAAGCCTGCAATCAAGTGATAGGGAGGTGTATGGGAGGCGGTTAGGAACCACCTCCAGCAAATAAGCTCCCCGTCTACATAGGGAGAGACTGGCAAATTACCTGCGAGTATACCCAGTCCTCACGTTTAGAGGTTTGCAGGCTATACGTGTGCATCAGAAGATAAACACAGCAAAATAAACACGCCTCATTTCCCTGGCTCCGAATGAGCTTCCGGTACGACAGCATTGGGTGGGACGGACACGGAGAGGCTGCAAAAATTCCAGGGCTATTCTAGGCTGACTAAATCTGATAGAGGAGTCGTTCGGCGTCAGCAGTTCTCCTCAACACGAGTTTGGCCATGAACATCGGGTTATTTGAACAACTAACAACCGGATTTCACGTCTACGATTTAAGAGATGTCGATTGAGACCGGCTTTGGAAATCTTCGTCGTTTACGTACCGACATCAAACTATGGGCTCAGACAAGCTTTACATAGAAGACCATACTTTCTTTAAGTTTATTACAGGACATTTAAGCGCAAAGACTAGACCCAGGAAAACGTCTGAAGAACGTCACGTTGCGAACCACGGATTAGAATGGAACGAACAGGGTGAGCGGCTCTCTGAATTTATCATAACGACCAAGACCCTTCATGGTGACTCGCATTTCCAAAATCCCCATTCCCAACACTGGACGTGGAAGTTTCCCATGGAAAGCACCATAATTAAATGGATCAGATCATAGTAAATTAAAGGACATGCGAGGTTTCCTTGTCCACAGAATTCTACACGGGATCAAACCATCGCCTCCGTGCAGAATTTCATTTCATCGCACAGAGAAGAAGCTGGTAAATTCAGAATAAAAGTTTCAAAACCACCATGAACTGGAATTTATTCAGTTCTTCATTCGGCTGTGGGGAAGATGCCGTTCTTTGTAACGACGAAAAATACGACCGGCTCATTTAACATCTTCAAGTTAGCGGCATGAAAGCGGAGAGTTGAAGGTCACCAAGAGGCATCTGCCTCCAGAAACACTCGAGCTGATACGCCAGCGCAGACTCTCACTAACAACTAGCAACCGCCAATTGACGTCCGAACTTGCGATAAAAGAAGGTTTGAAAACAGAAGCGCAGCAGTTATAGCCGAAGCCGCAAAGGCTGGAATGAGCATTCGCAAAGCTTATCGAAGCTCCGCCAATTACAAAACCAAGATGATTGGATCCCGATTCCCAGACAGAAGAGTTACAGCTTCCAGAAAGGCAATGAAGAAAACCAGTTATGACTACTTGCTTGGATATTTGAATACTTGGAAGGTCCGCCTCCACAAGATGTGAGGAACCCAGCACATTTACCATTCGTTTCTTTCCCTCGCATTCGTCGTGCATTGTAATGGTTTCATTCGAGCACGGTGGCGCGTGCGGGTCTCATACCGTGATCTTGAAAACAACTGCTGCTGCCAGTACAGCTGACTAACTTTGGTTACGAACACGTCCGCCCAACGTGTAGGTGCCCGTCCTTGGGGACGTTTGCATTCTCTTGGAGTCCACTCTACTGTTCTTTTCGCCCATCTGTCGTCTGTTCTTCTCATTATGTGACCGGCCCATTTATGTTTCGCTGTCGATGTATATTCTCCTGGATCTCGAAGCTGTGATAGATTTCGAAGGGCAGAGCTTCGCATTCCAACTACATGTTGAGAGTGCCGGTTATATTTCAGAAAACATCGCTCAAGCGCTCTGTGAGTAGTTCCAAGCACTCTTGACCTAGTTGAACCATCAACCCACGTCTCTGCAGCATAACAGAGCGCTGGAAGGATCTTAGAATAAAAGAGATGAGAGCAGATTTTCGGGTCCTTCAGTTGGTCGGTGGTTTCCTCGAGAGGCCCGAATACGGCCCACGCTGCTCTCCTTCTATCTGGTTCCTCCTTCGTTTTGTTTTCCATGTTCATTGATCGTCCAAGGTAAACGTACGAGGTGGTCTCTGCAATGAGAGAGCCATCCAATTCAATTTTTTTCGCCTTCGCACCATGGGTTTTTCATGAACTGGGCCTTTTTTCGATTTTTGCGAAGTCCGATCTTTTTTCCCGCTTCGTTGAGCTCGTTGATCATCACTTCTGCTTTGCTAGTACTTCTTGAGAAGATGACAATGTCGTCGGCAAAACGAAGGTTTGATAGGAATTTTCCATCAATGCGTATGCCTTTCTCATCCCAATTGAGTGACTTCATTATCCACTGCAGTGCGGCACTGAACAGCTTTGGCGATACTATGTCGCCCTGTCCAACCCCTTTTTCTATGGGTATGTAGGAGGTCGATGGAAAAGCTGTTTTTTCGTAGTGCAGTTCCGATTGCAGTCGGACAGAGTCCTTATGTAGGGCGGCTCCACTCCTTGGTCGACGAGCGCTGATAGGATTGCATTCGTT